GCAACAGCGGTGAGGTTGGCCCAGGATCAGGCAGTGTTTTGTTCTGTTGTACATAAGGTCGCTATGGGTCGGTACCGACTCAATGGCACCTAGCAACAACGACAGAGTACTCTAGAGAGACAAGTGAGTGGGCTCTAGCATGAGAGTTACAACAATTATGAAGACATTTACCTTTATAACCATAGTTGCTTGAATTGACTGTAATGGAAGGCAGAGCTACAAATCAAATTTACCCTTACACATGACATCCCCACCCTTTTTTATGCCCCCACTCAACACTCTGATGGACTCCTGGTGTGATGCTGTAGGTTAATGCTCTGGACTGTAAAGTTGGCTTGAACCGCAAGATCAGTGGTCCAGGCTCACCAGCAGCTCCTTGGAAACCCTATACAGGATTGTTGTGGGTTGGAACTGACTCGATGGCACTTAACAAAACACTCTGATACATTGTCTTCAGTAAAACTTTTGTTTTTTAATGTTTTATTGTGAATTATATGACAGTTTACATGAGAGAACTTTAGTTTTACATTCATTCTATCGTATATCATTTCATTGCCATGGTTCCAATCCCCTCCATGCATCATCAACCGACCAAAGGGTATACTCTACAAACCCACCCCCTACACTGCCCTCCCTCCCATCCCCCAGTCTTCAGCACACAGTCCCTCTCCCTCTCTGGATCCAAATTCCCCAGCCGCTTCATCACTCCACGTCATCTTCTCTGCCTCTATCTCGGGCCTCGCTGCTTCTCTGGGTAGGGTCTGGCTCATCTCCATTGATGGTCCTAGAGACCTCTGCTCCTAGACTGGAGAGTTTATCACTCCCTTCCTTGCTACAAAACGTCTACCTTTACATTTCCAATCCTCATCTCAAAATAGATTAACTTAAGATGCAACCTCATCTTGTCGATTAATTACATCTGGCCTTATTAACATTGTAGAAGTGAGGATTTAAAACACATAGCATAATGACATCAGATCAGGACTGATCACATCATGGGGGTGATTGTATCATATTAGATCTCATCCCAGAAGAAATAAAGTACATCTGAACTGCTAAACCACTGAAACTTCTGGCCAACCCAATATATATATATATATATACATATATATGTGCACGTGTGTGTGTATTATACAGAGCGAGAGAGAGTGAGACCTGGTGTGGTGCTGTGGGCTAATGTGTCAGACTGCAGAATTATTGACATGATGGAGTGAAACTCTCGAGACCTTTATTTACTAATGTGGCATGAGTCAAAGTGAGAGGAAACCCTGCCAACATCCATTACCTACCTGGACTATACAAAG